AAATTTATTGATGTAGTTGATGCTAGGGTATCTGCATTTTAAGAACCCTATGTGATTCCATGGATCACTCAGAAACTGAACAGAGATGTATTTTAATTTCAAGAAGCAACAGAAAACCACTGCAGATGATGCATAAGGAAAGTTTCTGGATGTAAGTGAGTGGAAAGAATGGGAAAGAGGAGAATGTAAGGTCATCTGACACAAAGACCAACAGAGACCCTTAAACTAAACCCTACTATCAATTTATTTTTATGTGTTACAACTCTTGAAAGAAGACTGAAGAGATGGCATATAAAAGTGGAAAAGCATCTCTCCGAAAGTAATTGACACAACGTCAAATCACCTTTTCCTTCTTCATCTTTTGTCTGACGTTCCTCTAGAAGTCTCCCACATTGTATGTTTTTCACAAGAGAAGATTTCTACAACAGTAATACAATTTCACTTGAACTAGTTGACTTCGCATATTCTCTCTCACTTAAGTGTTGATTAAGTGTGAAATCTTCCCTGCTTTTAAGGATAAGCTATTCTGGGCCACAAATCTACGGCTTTCAATTTTTTCAACCAGTAAACATAAAAATGATGGACCCAATAAAATAGTGTCTATCTTGGAGACACTGTGTTTCGTAAGTATGAAAGTATAATGACTAGAAATTCTGTACTGATAACATATGTTAATTATTAAAATGAGCATAAAGTATGAGTTTGATGTACTAATTTAGGAATAACTAGAACATTTTAAAATTTAGAAAATAATTTGTGTTACTACTCTGGCACCAGGGCACTTTTCAGAATTGAGAGCCATGTCTTCAGGCATACATACTAATTAGCTGTGTTTTCTTGGTCTAGTTACTTATACTTCAGCATGTTTAGACTATGGGATCTCTAAAAGTCTGTTATACAAAGGGGAACAATAGGTAGGAGAGAATTATTTGGGCAACTGGCTGGGAACAAACCCAGGTTTATCTCTTCCCCAACCTGAGTATCTTTCTGCTTACGTGTGATGACCAAGCCTCGTCAAGAGGGAAAGATAGCAGGCATATCTATTAGGGGAATTTCCATGTGTGGTGATACAAAAGTCCTATTATGCTCACCATTCAGCTTGGGCATTGTGAACACATAATACTCACTTGGGTAGCCAAAGGTGTTACAAAACTCAGGAATTAAGAATGATTTAAAGACATAAAATGGGATAGTAGGCTTTGTTTGTAATTCATCACAATAACTGAGCTTGAATAAAGCTGAAGGATGGTAAAATTGCCCAAGAGTCAGATCACCCATACTTAACAGAGATAAAATTCTTCTCAGTGAGTTATGGAATCATCCAATAACAAACTCTAGGAAATGCAGTATTCAGAGACAGAGACTACAAATCATTACAAACAAACTAATTTCTCAAAGACTTGCTTCTTCATTTTCAGAAGAAACTTGAATACAAATAATCCCTGATTGACAGATACTTCTAAGGTCATGAAAGTGTCAGAGGTAATATTCCAGATCCTTGCTCATGAAGGACAGTACTGAAATAAGAGGAGATGAACAGGTATGATAATTGGCAGTGTGCAAGATTGTGAGCCTCACAACAACTCCTATGTTTGAGCCCACTGTTCCAGCCACTGTGTCAAAGGCATCTCACCAAGGTTCTTCCTCTTTTCAGCTGACCTTCTACTTTACAAAACATGGTGTCCTTCACCAGGGACCGGTCCTTCATGATAACATGTGCAAAGTACGTGAGACGAAGTGTCACCATCTTTTCTCCTAATACAGATTTGTTCATTCTTCAGGCAGTCCGTGGTATATTCAATATATTCAGTTCAGCGACACCATAATTCAAAGGCATCATTCTTCATTGGTCTTCCTAGTCATTGTACAGCTGTCACATGTGTATGAGGCAAACAAAAAAATCCTATCTTGAGTCAGACTCACCTTTGTCCTCAAGGTGGCATCTTGCTTTTTAACACTTGCAAGAACTCTTTTGCAGCAAATCTGCCCAATGCAATGTGTCATTTCTTCACTGCTTCTTCCATGGGTGTTGATCATAGATCCAAGTAAAACGAATTCCTGATAATTTCAATATTTTCTCTGTTTATCATGATGGATTTGGATTAAGAAACAGCAACTGCCTAATACTAAAACTGCACTAAACTGCATCTGTATTTTACAGCTAGATTCTTCAGATGCAAGAGAAAGTGTTCTTAAGGTCAATATCTGAGTCACTATGGTTCTTAATTTGAAGAGCTGAGCTTAACCTCCTTGCCTACATCTACAGAAAACATTAAATAACTCTTGCTTGTCACATTTGGCAAACCTTTGAAACCTTTGAAGAATAGAGACTCTTGACATAATTTCTTTATCACTTTGTCCACCTCTAAAACTAGTAGTAGCATACATCTTAAATTAGTCATACTCAAGTGGATGACCCCACCTGTTATGCAATCAAGGAATAGTTTTATTCTCTGAGAATTACACAGAGCTCAATTTCGTTACTACATAAGGCAAGTATGTTTATCCATGAGGGGATTTTTGGGAGTGGCCTTCGGTTTCCCTTCATTACATCATTACTATTGAATTCAAATGTTCTGAGCTAGGATTCAGTAGCAGCTAAAACTTTCAAACTAAACATGGTTAATGATTTACCTACCCTAATGTTGGTTAAAACTAAGTCATTTTTGTCTCTTGATTAACTTTTATATTAAGACTTCGTATCTGAAAACCTTATTTATAAAGTGAACCTAATAAATTCTAATTGCCTCCTAAGCTTATACCTAATCCAATTAATTGCTGTGCGTATTTGCTTAATAGTAGACAGAACAAAAATGGCAATATATAACATCCAGGAATCCTATCTGGAGATCTTCAAATTTTGCTTTCCTTCCTGGCAAACCTCACACTTCAGATTTAGGCAAAAAAGCAAGGACATGCCTTCTAGGCAGCTATGTAACAAGTTCTGATGAAGACTGATATGACTCCTTCCTGGCTATCTAAGCATGTTCAAGAAGAATTTTAAAAAGAAGGGTAGACTCAGTAAGAAAATTCTTACTCATCTTTTTCTTCTCCCAAATCTTTAAACAAAAGCATTTGACTCTGAAGCCTAAAAACAGAACTACGCAATAAAAATCTAGTTATTCATACTCAATTATCACAGTGGGATTCAATCATAATTTATTAGCTAACTAAATACCATACTCTTTCACAGAAAGAATAAAGCAAAGTCAACCACCATCCAAGGCAAGGGTTTAAAGTCATCTTCATGGAAATCCATTGCTACTCAGAAGATTCCTGGAGGATGACTGTCACATGTTCAAGCAACCTCTGGAATACATGACTTTGTCAAGAATTAAGGCAGTTAATATTTAATACTGTTTGTAAATGTTTTGTGCAATAACAGGAAGTGTTTTGAAAGAAGTCTCTGGCTTCAAATGATGACTTTTCAAACGAATTTTTGGTTTTCTGTATACAAAAAAAAAAAAAAAAAACCTGTATCCAAAGTTGATTAACCTCTTTTCTCTGAGGGACTGACATGAATTTTGTTTTATATTTGAGCAAAGAAGCT